GAGCGAAAAAGAGTCAAAGCATTTCACCGAAGACTTTTGAGCGCTACTATATGTATGACCGTCTGTCGCGCAATCCAGTTTTACCTGAAAAACACCTTTAAAAATCGGGACAACTTCGGAACGGATGGAGCCTGAGACATGATCAACAGAGCCCATACGAGCTCTGCGGAACTCCGCTCACAGGGGAAGGAGCAAGAACCGGAATGGGCGATGCCAAAAACCAAACATCCTATTTTGACTTCGAAAAAATTCAGACCCTGGGAAAAAGTTGAGAGTTGGGTCAACAAAACAAATTTTCAAAACGGATGCATTCATAACTCGATTCAACAAAGGCACGGAGACCAGAAAAAAGTAGACGGAGCGTAACCAAGACCTAATACGTGGTGGGTATACGTAATCTTAGCGAAGCTCCGCTTACGATATGCGGGCGTGCATTCGAAAAAAGATGCTTCCAAAACTCAATATTGCTTTGTTAGGAAACATTCTCGGACTCGAAAAAAGGTGGTCAGAGGCTACCGGAGAAAGGTGGTCAAACTTCTTAGGCGGGCGGAATTTGCATCGAGGTGGGCTGGGCTAATATCAGAAATCCATTATTCTGCTCAAAATGTCTTACAACGTAGAAAAAAGAAGTCAGAGGCTGTCGAAGAAATTATATCGAATTATATTGAACTGTAGTGAGCGATACTAACTAGGATAGGGGTAGACCCAGATGAGTCGATAGAGTTTCGAATGCTGTTTACGAAAACGGAATTTATGTGGGCTCGAAATTCGCTTGACAGTAAGATCAATTGGAAATGCGAACTCGTCGCTTCGATATCAAGAGCCGACGTGGCCTAGGCTATGTCTATAGTGGTCTCGCTTCGTAGGCGTAGGGTGCGGGTTCCCTGCCATAGCCATAGTCGCCATTAGAGGCTCTATAAACATTTTCTGACATTTGTTTTAGTGAATGCCTTATTTCTGCTTTCATTTCGTCTCGTCGCCACTATCCAAGCAAAAGGAAAGTGGTTCTGCACGTTAACTGTGTTACTCTGTTTTATTTTAAACTTCAAGGATAAACAGACAGAAAGATACTAGAGATGTACATATAAGATGCCTGCAAGAGACTCAACATTGATGGAAAAACTTTGAAGAATGTTTAATACATATTATTCCTGCCGGTGCTACGCAATGATTCAGCCGATGGACGTCTTTTTCTTCGGTCCTATGAAGAATGTTATAAAAGAGGACCAAAACTTAGTTGTGTGAAACGCTGCAAACTTTGATATGACAAAGAGGGATAATATACTCGAGGTTCTAACACAAATATATTGAGTGTTTCGTGCACCCCGTTTTTCTAGTTTTTTTAAAATGCTCTTGGAACAAGATTGGGTATGTTGATGAATAACCAGGTTCCTGCGTCACACCGACCAAGTATTTGTTCAGACTTGAGCGATTCTTTGTTTTTCCCCGGATGTAAAGAATCAGCATGTATAAGGTGTGCAGTTTGTGAACAACATGCAACATCCATCAACATTGAGTTTCTTGTAGGCGTCTTACACATCTCTAGTATCTTTCTGTCTAACGACCCTTGAAGTTCAGAATAAAACAGAGTCATACAGTTGAAGCGCAGAACCGCTTACCTTGGATAGAGGCGACGAGAGAAAATGAAAGCAGAACTAAGGCGTTCACTAAAACAAATATCAGAAAAGGTTTAGAGAGCCTTCAATGAAAAGAAAAAACATTTTGCAAAAATGTCGCCTATGGCGGGAGGCAAACCCTCATCCTACGCCTATGAAGCGAGATCATTACCACTAGGCCACGTCGGCGCTTGATATCGAAGCGAAGAAATCGCATATCCAATTGATATTATTGCCAAGCAAATTTTGAGCCCCCATAACTTTCCAAGGAAAACCACTCTGCTGTTTTAACTTCCATTTCCATAAACAGCATTTAAAACTCTGTCGATTTATCTGGGTCTCCAGTAAAATTCCGTGGCAAGAAGATTAGTCCTCCTTGGTAAAGTCGAAAATTTATAGCTCTGTCTAAAATGATTTAAGAAAGCTCAAAAAATTGTCAGAGGCTGTTAAAGAAAAGTGGTAAAACCCCCAAAAAAGGCAAAATCTTGGCAAGACAACAAAAAGGAAGATCGCAGGACACCACACATTCCACCTTCATACATGATTAGAGCATTGAAGGTATCCAATGTACATGTAACAGTCAACCGCTGCGCAGAATATTAAAAGTATCTCTCTTTTTCATAAAGCAGTAACTTGGTGTGTCGGTTTGTAGGTTTGTCGGTTTGCCGGTCAAACCGTCATCTGCCCAAACTTTATGATTAAGATAAAGGTTTGCTGCAGACTCCGCAGCCGCCAGTTTTCAATAGTTTTATGTATTCTGAAGGCATGGGAGGCCCCGCCTCCTTGCCCAGCTTCTCGACCGAGGATACAGTACGGTCCTTCTTTGTCTATAGTCGTCAGTCATGCTATACCTATTTTATCGTCAGTCGCACAATAAAGGCTTGATAAATGAAACCTGTGTGTCGAAGCCCGCACAGAATTCAGGCGCATCGGCAACCATGACCCAACGAGTCCCGCGTGGCACACTAAAACCAGTCTCCTAGCCAGACGAGCAAGAGAGACACCGATTTCAATTCAACCCAAAATTAGCAAAATAACACTTCTCTAGCAGAACTTGGAGCATGAGCACAACTCCTTACAGACATTGATTCATTTTTACAAAAACATGGTGGAGCCCAACCAGCCACCAACAGAGGAACATGAAATCTGCATTTACTGCCACAAAATGCCTTCGAAATGCCAATAGCTTTGGATAATATGGAAACCAAATTGAGGGCGTTAAAAGAAGTCTGTCAAGATATAATGACTACATGCGCAGACGCAACCAAAGCTGAGAAAAAAGACATGCTCTAAGAAGCTTTAACCCATTGGCGATCGCGCTTTTATATTGTCCTCACATTAACCTTTATTTTCTTTTATATCTGTAGTTAGAAATGAATGATTCCTGGACCGCAATGCTTCAAGATTCTCTAGAAGGTCGTGAGCCCAGCTGATACATGAAAACATGAAAAAATTATAGGGACATCTGATAAATAACATAAATACCCCAGGGAGCCAAAAACGTGCGTCCTGGCATCGGGACGCATGGTCGCCAACGTGTTGAATAAAGGTTCAATTTTCACATAATAAAGCAACGTAAACATCATAAGGATAAAGGATAAAGTTTTTGGCGTTAATCAATCCCGCTTGAGGGATGCGCCCCCGCACTCGACTTCCATTCAGAATCGTAGTGGCGTAATGGGTGCGTATATGGCCTATACAATGACTTATTGTTCTCGATATGAATCATATCCACCTCAGCAACAAAGGCCCCGACTACGGTAATGCCGGCCACATGAGCGAAGACGGATACGACGACGCTAAACAATTCAGTCGTCGGTAAAGCGAGAAACGAATGTTGAGCGTTCTCGACCATTCCGTGGCAACCAAGATTATCTCGCTCCAACCGAATGGAACTCTCCTTACTATTCAAAATAAGATACCCACAAATAAAGCTCCCTCAACTCGACGGTGAAAACATTTCATGGAAAGAGTTTTGCGATTCACAGTTGACCGAAATACACAACTCGGAGAATTAGAAAAGATTCTCCACCTCAAAGATGCAATACGTGGCAAAGCATTCAATGCAATTAAAAGCATCCCAATGAAAACATCCAGCTACAAATTAATTGTCGACATACTGAAGAGAAATTCGGAAACAAAGGCAATAACAGATTAAAAATAGTGCGAAAACTACTACGCCTGCCTAAAGAAGGCGCTAAAGCAGAAAACTGTGCAGAAACACTTGATAAGATAAACGACCTCGTACACCAAATGATTGCTCCAGGATATGATGCATTGAAAAAGCATGATCCTATTTGGATCGACACCATTCTCGTCAAATTTCCTTATGATGTAGTCAAAGAAGTTATAAAGGAAACAACACAAGATCCAACATTGTCAGTAGGCATCCTATTTGATGAACTTAATACGGAAGTCCCCACCAGAGTAGTGTTCAAAAAACAATTTGCCTCACTCTTACCAGTTCCCTTACTTTGTGTCAAACCCCTACTTCCAGACAACACACTCGGAGTCAAAGTCACGAACGCCAATCTTTTCACTACAGTAACCAGCCAACAAAAACTTCGCCACGTCAACAAGACGGCGAAGTGCGAGAACGCTCTCCAGCTGTTCCAGCTGCTTCCAAAAAGGGAGAAGGAATTCATCTGGAAAGAAAGGAGGAAGATTCTTTCATCAAATGAAGGCGCTAGGCTTCGAGAAACAGCTGGTTCTCACGACAGCAGAAGGCAAAATCGAAAACGACAACGCTGGCATCTTCGAGCACATCTTAGTTTTCCTTGATTCTGAAGCGCGGTGCAGCCTCATTGGAGCAACTGTAGCAGAATCGCTCGGACTCCACAAAGGAGATCCATACCAGTGCACCATGCATGGCATTGGAGGAAACATCGAAACATATATATCGCATCAAGTAACAGCTGTTTTCAAAACAAGCTTCGGAGACAATATTTCATTGAACCTGATAACGAAACCGCTGCTAACCAACCCTTTCCCAGCAGCTACCTTGTCGAACTCTGACATACAATTCCTCAAAGAAAATAGCATCTTCCTCTCCAATACGGCAGTAAATGGGAATCTATAAAAGCAGCGATACTAATAGGAGTAGAATCGTTCGAGAATATCGTACTCCTCGACTCAGTCCAAACTAGGCTTCCCTCTAAACTTCTGGCACAAAACACCGTATTTGGACCTGCTCTTTTTGGCAAATCCGACAAGCCACATAACAAACCAAATGAGGAGCATCAAATGTTTGTATTCCCAGAAGTGATATCCGAAATCAAACAAGAACTCAGAGATATATGCGATAGAAGGAGTGGGCATATCAACCGACGAATACAACAATGACAACACTGCATACAACCACATGGACAGTTTCTCAGAGCATGTAACTACCGAAAACGCAGCAGTCGTAGCTCCTTTTCCTCTCAAGGATAACATAGTGAACCTTGAGAAGAATTATAGCGTCGCAGCATCAAGACTGAATGCTCTTTTCAAATTCCACAAAACTCACGAATCACAGCGACAGTGGTACATCAAAATACTAAAGGAGTACGAAAATAACGGCATTATCGAAAAAATCCCTGACGAAGAAAAGCACCAGTTCAACATCACCAGCTTTTACTTACCTCATTCAGGAGTATGGAGGAAGGAACAACCCATCCCATTAAGAATAGTATTCGATGCCCCATCAAAAGCAAAAGGAAAACTTTCACTAACGATGTGATTCACACTGAAGAAAGTTCCACAAACAAAATTCAGGAAATGCAATGAGCCGATGGTGTAAAATATTCATCACCGCACACATTCAAGTAGCATTTATTCAAATCCGGATCACTTCAAAAATCGCAAGTTGCTGTGGTTCTTGTGGCTCAGAGATGAACTGTATCTACGTCGATAATAGTTTCTTAGCAACAGAATCAATTCAACAAGCAGTGCAAAAACATAAAGTTTTCCCGAAGGCTCTTCAGCCCAATTGGGATGAATCTTAGAGACTTCATCAGCAGTGCGACCGAGTTCAATAGCATGATTCCAGAATCTATCAAAGGAAAAACAGGTTTCACTAACTTGCTTAGCGTAACCTACAACACCGACAAGAAATGAATATCACTACATATAAAATCATCACCAAGAGATCGGATGACCAAAAGAGAACTCGTAAGCGAAGTACAGAGAATGTACGATCCACTCGGACTCCCACTACTCTTTCGCTGAACGCCAAGCTGTTAATGCGAGAAGTCGTTACGATGAAAAGCCCATGGAACAGCATCCTACCACAACAACACTATATTGATAAATGGAATGAAATCCACACGAAGATCAGTGATACTCTCATTCCACTTTCCCGCAACACTGGAAGATGAGATGAAAAATCCACTCTATGGAATTTCGCCAACGCCAGCCAACTCGCCACCGTATTTTGCGCTTGTGTGGCCCCAAATTCCAGACCATCACACAGATGGGCTCTTATGCGCAAAAGCGAGACCAGCCCCACTCAAAAGGTAACAATCGATTCGCAACTCGAACTCATCGCAATATTGATATCTCTATGGCTAGGAAAAACATTGCACGTATATAAAAAAGTGTCCAAACACTCAACATTGTAACCGACAGTAAAATTGCACTTGCGTGGCTGCAGTCATCATGAAACGAAAACTCCCTGTTTTTGTATCAAACCAAGTCGATCGTATACACAAGTTGACTCGCCATATTGAAGAGCTCGGCATCACCTTAGTCTTCAAACACATAGAATCAGCCCACAACCCAGCCGACTTCGCCACTCGACCGACAGATAAAGAACAGTTCCGCACCGGCGAATGACTAACAGGACCACAATGGCTCCAAATACCTGAACCGCATTTGGCCAATCGACAGGTCACGCCCTGAGGCAGGAGTTCAAGCACCGATGCCGACGGCGCTGAAGACAATAGCGCAACCAGCTGCGCATCCGTAATCAAAGCAACACCACCAAAACATACTCATTATCGGCCTTACAAGCTTGCGTCATTACTCACAGGCATTGAGAAACTTGCACGTGCTATGAAAGCGCTTGCGCACTGGATATCGAAGCTCAGCGCACGTCGTAGTAAACATATAAACGCGACAGTAATAGGTCAATTTGCCTCAGACCATAACACCACATATGGCAATCAGACATGGTGAAGTCATTATTCACCATGATGAGACCAAAAACACTGATTTCAATGAATAACAGCCCTAACACAAAGATAAATCCTTACTTTACGACGAAAACAATTTAATAAGAGTGAAGTGTCGCCCTCCCTCGTGATACAAAGGAAACTTTTTATGTGTCAAATAACGCCCAATAACGAACGAAATACACGTCACGAACATGCACTGAGGATGAAGTCACGTTTTATCGCTCTCAAGAATGCGATTTTGGCGCCCAAAACCTTTGGCGAAAGTAAGAAAGATTCCCAGTCAGTGTGAAGTATGTGAGAGAAAACAAGTGTTTCATATACTCGCCCACGGATGGCGCGTCTACCACGAGACCACTCTTATCTGCAAACCATTTCAACATGTCGGTTGCGACTACATAGGACCCTTCACGACCGGCAACGATGAGAAAGCATACATAGCGCTATACATGCTTAACAACGTGCGCCATACCCCTGGAACTTGTTGACAGTCTCTCCGCGTCAGCCTTTATCGATAATTTCCTACGCTTTATAAGCCGCCGTGAAGTTCCCACAACAATTAGGTCTGACTGCGGTACCAACTTTGTCCTGGGGGCAAAGGTGATTGACCATCTCTTCCAGAACACAACAGAAACAGGACATTCAATCATGTCATATTCGGCCACAACGGACATTAAATTGATATTCAACCCACCTGCGGCTCCCTGGATAGGAGGAATGGGAGAAAGACTTGTAGGAACCGTGAAAAATGCATTTCTAAGGCAATAGGTCGTAGAAAACGGGAAACCTAAAGTTCGCCCCATCCGAAAGCTCCAACTCTGACTAACGACATCCAAGATTTCTCTTACGGGGAATCAAACATTACCACTATGGAACAGCAAAAGAATCCCTCAAGTTGGCAGAAAACGCCGCCAACACCTTCTGGAGTAAGTGCACAAAGAATACTTGACAGAGCTACGCGACACATACAAGCCCTCTCCGAAACAAACCGGACATAACTCTCGCTCAGAACCCGAAACTGGCGAAATCGTACTAATACTGCCAGACGAACCAGTTTCTCGTAGCAACTGGCCTCTCAGACGTATCGTTGAGCTTCTACAAAGTTCCGATGGCCAGGGTAATGAGGTCAGCCAAAGTTATCACGCTTCCTGGAAAGATAACCCACCGTCCTATAAAGAAACTCATTCCTCTTGAAATCCGAAGCAACTTCACCGGGAAAATATGACACGTACTATAGCAACGAAATCCGAGACAAAGCAAAACCCTCAAAGAACATCGTTATCCAGAAAAGCAAAAGAAAACGTAAACCACTATGAGTCTATTCAGGACTTTGATCTCCCTAATAATTCCAGAAATTTACGTCGAAAGATTTGAAGCCATATTCATACAAGACCCCTGCTTAGCGTTGACCATCGTGTGCACACAAAGCTGTCAACACACGCACATGCGCTATGTTACTGACCTGATCTGTAACGACAGCAATAATTGCACTCTCGAATACAAACAAGAATTTCTATTCAACAGACTCAACAGGGACGCGTGTATCCTCTTACTACATCAAAATCGAACTGTAGGGAATTTCAAAATTACATCTCAACGTTCACGCCAGATCTGCAACAAGGAAACTCTGTTCTACACGAGAGATACCTTTACTAAAGTATATTATGAAAAAAGATGCGCGTTCATAGGATCATGTTTAACCCATAGTTGCGCAACAATGAAGCACAATGGCTCGATACCCGGACTGCGTGAAGCAGAAATCAAGCCTGGTTATTCAACGCGCACCTCTTCCTGTGGAGGCATAGCATGTGGTTGCTTCACCATTCCCATCCTGCTAAGTATACAGAATTGCACAAGTTCCGCACACTAAAGATGTATACGTCTCTGCATGCTCATCGTGGAACTTAGAAACACACTTAAACTTCTATTTCTCCACGCCAGACGCCTCAACTAACGTCCCACTGCGAATTCACCCTTACGCACCGTAATTTCCATCCAGCATACGTCAACTCCCATCAATTCAAAGTACCAACTAAATGCCCAGATGCAGCAACGGCAGCTGAACACTTTAAAGCATGCCAAAATGTCATAACCTATGCATACACTCCCAGTGAGGACGCGGTGCAATGCAATGGTCCTCAAAGTGCGATGCACGGAATGACATACACAGCGCAAGAGCTACCGCTTATAACGCCTCATCTTAACGTAAGCGCAGCAGATACGATTGTAGCTGACACACACGATATTGAAATCACATTACTGATTGAGTCCCAAAAGCAACTTTAAATGGCAGAATTTTGGTTGATCCGCCTTGTTTCTTGCATACAACAACTGTAACAGGTTGCTATAGTTGTCAAGATCCCTAGAATACAACCGCGCACACGTAAATGGCAATTGCTCATTCCGTTGCGCAGGAAAACGCCAGACGATTTCCCTAACATGTACCCTCTTCTACCACAGTTCAGTACCGGACGAAGAAATCTTCAACATTGACAAAACACTAACGCGAACAACAGCTGGTGGAATGACATCTCCATATCGGACCTGTCCTCTTATGCACACAGTAATCACACATTGGAAGCGCACTCTAGCAATATCATCACTTACAGGGCTTGTCGGATTCGCGATCTACCTTTTTGGACCTATTGTGATTGTTGCAATCGTAAAAACCCTCATCATGATTGCAACATTCAAGTTTACATGTCTCCTCAAATGCGTGGATAGCACACGAACAACCGTTTCTAAAATTACGATCAATAGAGCTCGTGACTGAAGATGCTCTTTTTACTCTTTTGGCATGTTCTCTCTTTTCTTTTTTGACAGAAACAGCCCTCCCCTCTTTGTGAGCGCAGTGCCCCGCAGACTTCATGACTGACGATCCCGCACGACGTCTGCACAGCTGGCGCCTTCTGGCAGCGCGCCTGGAAATAGCAACACTCCTGTACTGGGCCTAGCACCCACACCCGTCGTCTTGATTCCTCCAAGACGTCAATTCAACTAACTATGAATGTGCTAACGTCTACAATGCAAGCTATTCAGAGTAGACTGGCTCCCATCGAAAACAAGATCGACTATTTGCTAGTCTACCTCCTTGACTCCTATGCTTGTTCTGCGACAGTGAAGAACACCGTTCTTTTTTCTGCCCTCTTTTCCCCGATACTGTGTCTCGTTCTCTTCGTCTGAGAGATCGAGATAACTGCACGTCCCGTCCGGCAACCGCACATGGTATTTATCTGAAGAAATGTTGCAACTGCGGCAGGCCGCATCACGCAATTCTCTGCAACACAGAACCAACAACTGGACCGCCAGCAAAATGTCATCGATCGTATTGGTGATGAGTCGATTTTTGGTACACTGCTTGTTTGATTTGGACATATTTTTAAAGCGTCTATTGTTTAATTACTCATTTACTTTGTACTCATTCAAATGCCCAATCCTTGAAATGTAAACGCAAAGTAATTTCACACCACACTCAACCAAACTCACTCGCGCTCTGGCCATTCACTCGTAGCTCGGCAATGAAAGCTCACTGCCAACATACGTCTCGCTAAGTTTTCTGTCATAACGCTATAGTCGTCAGCATGGCCAGCTCAACTCACACTCCGTCATCAGGTCAGGGGTAGAAGCCGGGCTCCGATTGGCCAGTTCGCGAGTTAGTCAACAAAAAGTCAATGTCAAGTGAACATTATTTTGCGTAATTGGTTCCATTCATCTCTTTTATACTTCAATAATTCGAATCTACGTTTGTTTGCCATTTTTCTATGTTTATTTTTCACATCGCTTCGCACTATTTGAAAATTTTCGCGGCCGGGGAATGTCGCGGCCGACTCCGCAGCCGCTACGTTTTCATAGTTTTATGTATGGTAAAGGCATGCGGAGGCCCCGCCTCCTTGCTTTCGCTTCTCGACCGAGGATACAGTACGCTCGTTCTTTGGCTATGGTCGCCAGTCGTGTTTTGCCTATTTTAGTCGTCAGTCATTACTAGCATATGTTAGTCGTCAGTCGTACAATAAAGGCCTGATAAATAAAATCTGTGTCCCGAAGCCCGCACAAAGAAGTGATATGGAAAACTCAGTTCTACTACAGAGACTACTCTCTAAGAGCAAGACTACCAACGCTTGAATGAATAATGAAATGAACCACCGATACAATGATAACGTTGTTGTTGGTGAGTATATAAACCCATCATTGTATAGTAATAAATCATTCCTATCCTTTGCTTCCACTCTCCATCCTTCCACTACAACAAGTGAATCGGCGAACTGATACAACTGGTGCACCGGCCGAAACTACGTGAGTCCCCTCCTTGCTCAAATAATATCCATCTTATCAACAGCCAGCTTTCTGCCGGGACACCATTCGCTTCAACAAGGTCAGCACCTGATTCGGAATGGTAGCGAAATTAGGAGGAAAACCATCGTGGCTCACATGTTTGAGTGCTATTTCAGAGGAAACACTCAGTAAGAACCTAACCGGCTCAGTGGATGACAGTAAGATAGCGTGGATCGTCCGAATGCGCTCTTTAATACAAGAATGCCAAGAACTGGACCTCATAATAATAAACTTGCGGAATGCGCTTGACAGCTACATGGAGGCAGCTGACAAGATGCAAAAACCGCTAAACGAAAATCAAATAGCCAAAATTGAAGAAAAAGTCAAAGCGGCGCAAACAATCTATCTCAGTGGTCAGAACTATCTGATCGAACTTCCTTTACTCCTAGAGCGGAATGCGGATATATCGTTACCCGAGCCTATCTCAGATGGGACGCTCAAGCCACGTCTCGCTCCTCTTCAATTGCCAAGTTTCAAGGACAACTATGGGAATGGGAACATATCTGGAGAGTTTTCGATGCCGTCACCCACAAGAGCAACATCAGCAAAATCGAGAGGCTGAGCTACATAAAGGCCTTCCAAGGACCCGCAAAGGAAAAAAGCTTCTAATCACGGCAGACAACCACGACAATAATACCTTCAAAGCCTACAACCGAAAAGCTATACAACTCTAGCCAAATGAACACAATAGTTAGGACTCCTCTATCATTGCTAAACTAGGACGGAAAAGAGAAAACTCGACACTCAGCAGACACGAAGAACAATTCTATCAAAATTCAACGGAAAAATTCGGAGGGCTGAAGAAGAAAGCAGCATCACCAGAACGAGACTTGACAAAGAGGCAGTTGCTCCAAGATCTTCAAGATTTCTTTGGAATATTTAAAAACTCGAATAGAGAACTTACAAGTAACCATGACTGGGAGTGAAGAGGCATTTGCAAGCACTACATTTACTGTGAGAACATCCAAGATCAAAGGTAACAGAAGCGCAAGAGCATATGGTTGCTTCTATTGCAAGGGGAGCGATCGTGCTCCAACAACTTGCCGAAGGTACCCCTTCGTCGACCGGCGACTGAAATTCATCAGACGAGAAAACCTGAGGACTGAGGCTACAACTGAGGATCCGTAGAACACCGCACCAAAGATTGCAGTCGCGGAGCATGTCGACAAAGCAAGGAATAAGGTCACCATACCTCGACTGTCAATATCCATTGACCCACACCAATCAAGTCGCACCCCATCGTTGGCGGGTGCTCTGCAAAAGGTACAGTCTGAGTCTCAGGGCAACGAAAAGGGGAGCGAATTAGAACTTCACTACAATCGTCGCAGAGCAGAACTCAACATAGTGCAGAAGAGGCGATCACACCATCTTACCTCAAAAGGAGTACGCATGTTCATCAGAACATTCAGTGGATTTCCTGGTGGAGATAGATATTAATAGGTGGATATACCCATGCTGCAAGGGCTTGTTTGTTTGCGTCAGCAAAGCTTACAAACCATGGCAGCATGAGTATATCTATCTATCTATATCTATCTCCACCAGGAAATCCGCTGAATGTTCTGGTGAGCATATGTACTCTGTATCCTCTCGGATGGATGGCTCCACGACAATTAAAGCAAAGCTCTTTCTACCGAATTTGTGGAAACATAACTACAAGTGGAAGAGAGTGGGAAGGACAAGTGGGACTACAGATAAGATCACAACGGAACGGAAATATCACTTGCACACCTTGTAAGCTTTGCTGACGCAAGCAGACAAGCCATGGCAGCATGGGTATATCTAGTTCTTAATATACGGTCAGAACTACTCATTGCAAAAACGAAGCTCCCATCACTGAAGTATAATCCCACAATACTAAAGCGTGAAATGAACGCTCTGACAATGGCAACTCGTCTAGTCAGCAATGCTATGCGAGCTCTCCAAAATCAACTCCATATACAGTCAATCACAGTCTATTCAGACTCAGAAATAGCACTTGTATGGCTAGCCGCATCTGAATGTGACCCCGGAGTCGTAGTATTAGTTAATGACTGCTGCAAAGAGATACGAATCATCAGTGAAGACTTGAAGAAAGATGGGATTTCCGTCAGGTTCGGTTATGTGAACACAAGCACCAGCTCAGCAGGTTGTGCAACTCGAGGGCTTTCGAGGGAAAGATCGAGACACATTGGTGGTGTAACGGTCCCAAGTTCCTTGTTAGCAAAGACGATCGAAGCCAAAGGCTTGCGTGGAAGAAATGTTGGGATCCCAGAGCATACATATACATATTAGGTTGATGAATAATTATTGCGGATTTTTGTCAACAAATTTTATACAAATAAACGATAAAAATACCGAACAACAACATGTTCAAATAATTAGTCTGGTATCTATCTACCATCTACGCCAAGCACTGCTTCTCATTTACTAGGTAGTCGGTTTTCCAAGGCAGACAGGTTTCAACTATTGGCGGCGATCCACGCCGTGACGTCGGCCATCAAGCCATCCATTTCGTCGAAAGTTCTGCTCGTTAGCCAATTTTTCAACGGACGACCAAACTGATAATCCATTGGAAACCCTATCGTTAATAGGACGAGATTAGGAGCGAATCCCATTCCTTACTTGACTTTGGCTGACTGTTCCATCACCAAAAAAATCGATGAGATCGCGGAAATGACGCCTGCCACCTTCAACCTTGGTCGAAGTAGTAGAGCACAGTGTGACGGATATGAATATGACTTTCTAGATAGATTTCTGTTGAGGAAACCCAGAAGATTATTTCCATAGAAATCCCGGATCCCATATTAAAATGTATCGCGAGAAAAGAAGCCACGAAAAAATCCGCAATAATTATGCATCAACCTAATGCTTCACACTACGAGTGCTGAAGCCGTTGAGAAGAGTCAGGTCGCTTCTCGAAGCCATTTCCTATTTTCATGATAGTTTGGGCTAGAATCTCTACCATCAGAGCGATATCACAAATCTTGGCCGAAAAAAGTACAAAACTTATTCCAAACCTCTTTGAGAAGGGGTGTTCTGAAAGGATGCAGCTGAGGGTCAAAGATTTTTCTAGGGATCCGATTTGAAAACAGCGGCGCACCTGCTCACGAATGGGAAAAGATCGAGACTGGTGCTGTAGAAATGCTCGCGACCATATCCCACCTTCCAATCCTTATACGAATTTCCCGGACCACAATGAGATGAGTCGCAGGATATAATTCATATAGGGGAGAAAAGCCTGCGCTTCAAATGCACCACTGTTGCTGCTCCTAAGAAATCATTGGGAAAAGTCCAGGCTAGAGTTTCTCAAGAAACTCTGCGTGCCATCGTCGATGAGTAACTGAAGCGTCTTCGAGCTATAATTAGCACAGGGGACGGTTATATAAGATGACCGTGTGTTCGTTTCGTAGATGCGATGCATAGTAAATATTTAGTTCACATTAGTTCGCTATGTATCAATATGAACTGCTGTTTCTGTAGCCAACTTATTTTGCTACCATATTTATGGCGAACCCTGTACAACATATTCAGACAAAACACAACAAAATCTAATTCAAGAAATACAGGATTGGCACAGACCCAACACGACAACTTCTATCCAAGTGATCATTGCATACCTTCCACGGTTCATTAGAAACTTCATCTCGAAGTTGCTCTCCCAATTGCAGTCACGCATCATGAACACCACTCCAGGACGGTGCCAAGCAGAAAATAAGCAATACATCAGAGCAATTGAAAGGAAAACAGCAATGCAAGTTATCATCCGTAATCATCAAACGGTACATCTTCCAGAGTCAAAATTGCCAAAACAGCTGATGTTGCGAAAGAGCAATGTCGGCATATTTAGATGAAGCACACGATTGGAGAATGCAGATCTCCCCTCGAAACACGCCAGCCGATCTTTCTAGCAGAAAAAGCGAGTTGGCATAAATGACCGCGAGGAATGCTCACTCTTCTCGACGCTGTGCAACATCACAACTAAGGCCAATGTGAGAACGTACTACTGGATATCCGAGCTCCGTCAATTGACCCAGAGAAATGCATTCCATGCCCAAAAATGAACAACCTTCCTTGCATTTACGAGGGTTGCCTTTTATATTTTGGGATTGGGCAACCGCAGTGTTGCAATTTGGCAACTGATAGCTCTTTCATGGAGTATGACCTTTTCGAGGTTGTACCTACCCAGAAAAACCTGACTCAAAAGATTTGATTAGGCCAAAAAATGGAATTAAATCGGGAACATTTTCATGCGATCATTTTGTGCAATCTTCGACGTGGATTACTCAACAACAGTGCATGGATGAACTTAGTTCAATTTTTGGCGATGAAGGACTAGTGTTTATCGATAGCATGGTGAATACATCCGAGGTCGTAGTTCATTCCAAAACGACTTTCGTGGAGGTCGTCCAAAATCAGTTGTTTTCCCGATGCTGTGCGCAAACTAATATTGCAAGACCATCATGTAACCTATCGTGAGAATGGGACAACCTTAGGCATTAGAGGGACAGCATAAATTCAATATTGCATAAACATTTGACTGTCAAAAAAATTTGTTCAAGAAAACCTTCACCACGACAATGCGAGCTCTCACTCATCGGCCCAAACAACTGCATTCTTGAGCACTCAAAACATCGATTTGATGAGTTATCCGCCATATAGCACTGGCTTTGGCACCGAATGACATCTTTTTATTCCGGTACGTAAAAAGAAGAGAGCTCAACGCTTTTCAACACCTGATGAAGCGAGTGATGCGATCAGAATACGTGTTTTGGAGATACCTCAATCAGAGTGGCAAAAGTGCTTCGGCAATTGGTTTAAACGCATGCAAAAGTGCATAGATCTCGATGGGGAATATTTCGAAAAACAATAAAGCAATTTTCAACGCTTAATATTTATTTTTGTTCTCTAATCCCGAAATATAGAAGGCAACCTACGTATCCGGAAGTGGAGGACCTCCCAAACGGCGTGTAGTGAGACCAAGAACATTTGAAAACATTGAAACATTCTACTTTAGACCACGTTCTCCAAAGGGAAACGGAGAAGTGGTTCAGATCTATGGGATAATCCTGCACGACAACAAGTCTTCTTCATACAGAGATAGTCTCGGATATGACAACAAACAACCTTCTTAACGGATTAGTCAATGCCTTAGCCTCGAAAGGGATAGAATGGAAAACAATCACACTCTTTGCGCCATGGCAAGAAGCATTCTATGAGCGTTTAATAAAATCCATTAAGCACTCACTCTATAATGTGACACAGAAAGCAACTGACAAGGACAGAGCTAGAAACCATCCTTATCGAAAGCGAGGGGATCTTCTATCATGAAGAAAACTGGGAAGAAACTCCAATTTTGAGACCCATGGACTCAATGGATTTAATGTGACATGATTATTACATGTTCTTTCGAATCATGTACGACAGACGATAAGGATAGTCAGTATCTCTCAGCTAAGGAAGCGGCGCAACTCAGAAATCGTCAACAGGCAGAAGATGCGCTGAAGAGAAGCCACAAAATAGCTAAAGAATTTTAAAAACTGTGGAGAGATCAGCTGACTAGTCTTCGGGAAAAGCACAAACGTT